CCGAGGCTCTGGAGTAAGCTCAGGACCTGTTCCATAGGCTCGGAGGGATCAGGTTGCGCCTCGCCGCCTGCCTCCGGAGTTGTTTCGGGCTCTGGCTCATCCGACATTTATTTTATATGCCCGGTCATTTTTCTGGGTCGAGGAAAATAGCGAAGGACACCGAAGTGCCCCTGGTATTGACTTCGTTGCCATTGACGTCCGTGAGTCTAAAATTGAGAGTTCTGAGGGTGATGGGCCCCCGCAGCTCTACTAAATGTCCCTCATCAGTCTGGTCCTTCATTACATGTCCAACGCCCTTATCGATGATGATCTTGCAAATGATGTCGTTTCCCAAGAACCCAGGATGTGTGCGGCGTTGCCCAATTCCCTGGATCTAAGGAAGACCTCATTATAGCTATTCATGCTCACCCAAGAAAAGATTTGGAGGGCCCCGTCGATATAACTGCCTCCCAGGAGATGATTGATGGATTGCGGATTGGTGGCGGAAGCGCCCAGGGGGTAGCCTGGGCCGTTGGGGAAGAGGTCCCGCAGCTCCGCGTCTGATAAGATGCGGCGATTCCTGTCGCTTGCAATTCTATGGCGTTCGTTGCCTCCTGGTAGACGGCAGCTGCGTAGTTGGAAGAGATCCACGCCGCCAGCCTGGCGCCGGTGTAAGCCCCGACGGGCAGCTGGGCGGTGTTGAGGGTGCCCAGGGCCACATCGATCCAGTACAGGTTCCGGCCCCTGTCGGTGGACAAGAAGGCATCGGCGATGCGCACCTTGTAGACCGCCGTCTTGGCGCTGGACTGCATGCGCAGGGTCTCGGGCAGCTCGAAGGTGAAATTGCTGTCACTCCCCGAGACGCGCTTCCTGGAGTCCACGTAGATGGTCACCATGCCTTGCATGCTTCTTTCTCCTAAAGCGGAAGGGCGTCCTTGGAGATCTCACTGGCCGTGGACCCCTCGGACACGCCCCGGGTCCCGCCCCGTTGGCAGCGTGGCCAGCCGCGGGTCGGCGGCTGGCTGCTGCAGCACCTGATGTTGCTGCACTCCGACTCGATGATCGGCCCACCTCCCAGCAGCTTGCTGGTCGCCGCCGATAGGAAGGCCCCCATTTACCGGCTGCGCGGCCTCCTCGGCGCCATCCACCAGAAAGCGCTCCTCCCACCTCTTGTAGAACATGTTCGCCTTGTCCTTCAGGTAGTGGATGAACCAGAAGCTGTAGGGCTCCCTGGTGGCTTCCTGATACATCGCGAGGAGCTCCTGCTTGTGCAGCAGCGCGGTCAATTCCTCCAGCAACGCCTCCAGTTCCAGCTGGTTGCGCAGTCGCCAGATGCAGATGAACTGCATATTGACCCGCACGGCGGCGGAGATCAGTTGCAGTTTCTGCGAGGAGACCCACGTGCTTATCTGCGTGTGGCGTCCGCGGATGAACAGCGTGCCCAGGGCGCCGTCGCCGGTGCGGCGGTGGAGCTCCGGCTGGTCCGCGAAATCGTCTATGACGACCAAAACCTGAAAGAGCTTTTTTAGGCCCAGCTGCTTGCTGGTCCTCGTGATCTTCTTCTGCTGCTCGATTATCCCATTTATCGAAATATACCTTCTCACGTTCTGTGTTCACGCCCATGTCGTAGTCACGTTCCTGCATCGGCGACAA